TAATTTCATAGCATTTACCTCAATTTGAAGTTGTAAAATATAATAAGCACACAAACAAACACACATACATCCATTTAACATCTGTCTTCCCAAGTACACATGAAAATGAGGGCCATGGATGCCCAGTGCCCAGCACACTGTAAATAAATCTAGTTTTCACTAGTGTATGTGTGTAGAGAATGAATGTTCATGGCTACAGTCACAAGGTACGGGGTTATGAGAGCCAGTTCTAATGAGGAAGCCTTCTTGTTCTGATACCGCCTGGCTCCTGCTGAGGTGGCTGTGGCCACACGGGATGTTGCGCCCCTCTCCAGGGTTCAGTGAAGCACTGGATGTCAAGAGCTGTCTGGGGCCCATCTGCCCTGTGCCTCCTGAAGACCTTCTGGAGCTTCTTCCTCTTGCTGGACACCAGAAATGGTGAGGCTTTGCACTTTCTCTGCCCTATTTTGGAGAAAGAGCACAGGCCTTCTGCCCTGACGTCTTCCTGCCCGTTTTGGAGTTCTCTTCCCGGCCCCTCACTGGACCACACCTGTGGTAAATCAGCTACTTTCAAGGCCTAATTGTTTTTGCCTGCCTTTCAGCCTCTGTGCCATCCCTGGTCCGCAGAACCTCTCTCTCACTTGGGAGCAGGATGAGCGCTTGTCTCATGGTTACGTGCTTCTCCAGATTCTTCTTAATTTTCCCTCTGCTTTACAAGCCAAAAGCCAGGGATCTGACTTACATTTTCTGTAGTTATTCTTTTTTTCCCGAGGCAGGGTCTGCTGATGTTTGAATGGGGGAAAATGTGAAAGGATATGCAAAAGTTTCAGGGAAAATAATTCATGGTTAATCTCTCAAAAATATCATCGGCTCCATTATGCAAAAGGTGATCCAGTTTCAGGAGAATGATATTAGCTGTGATTATCCAAATTTCCAAAGCCATTCACCAGGGTTGGTCACTTTACCACTTGTTCTAGAAAGAAAGAAGCATACCACTTGGGAAGAAGAGCCAAAGTTCTGCAAAATGAGTGCATCTCCAACGATGCCTGTCTTTGCTGTCATAAAGTTTCTCACAAGCAGCTGAGGCTCTGATAAAGTAAATATGTGTCATGTTATTTAGGAGGGATGGCAGGCTGAGAGTCATGGAGCAAGTGACAAGCGGTCCTTGACTTGGTAATCTCCCACGTTGTCTTTGGGTGATACGGATCTCACATTAAGTGATATGCTGTGAGAGCTGTTTCTGTTGTTCAGTCACACAATTTTAGGCAAAAAAGGTAGAATATCTCTGCATCAGCTAGAGATGATTTTAACAGATATCACCGGTCTTAATAGCCATAACTTCATCTGCTAAGTTGTAGCAAATGAGGTTTTATGCTTTATCATCAGGCTGCCGGACAGGGCTCAGGTAACCACAGTATGTGTGTAAAATCTCATGTGCTACTGCACAACAGTTGGTATTTGCAAGGAAAAGTAACTACCCTAAAGCTTTTTATAGCATTTGTTCCTTCACAGCAAGAGAATATTGGAAGTTTGTGTAAAGCTTTATATTGTCACGCTTAACCACTGTGACTTTTACAACTGCATGCTAGCTGGAGCCCAGCAAATTACTGAGAAAGCACTGTGAAGATGTCATTAAGTGTTGCCTGCTGCTTTATAATCTTCAGAAGTTACAGAAGAACACAGCTTCATATGTCACTTGAGATTCCTTTGGCCATATTAACAGTCTGAGGTGCCACTCTTAATAACAAATCATATTAGCCAAATTCTTTAGTCTTTCTATAGAATATTTACCAATCATGAGTATCTCTACTTCATCGTTGGCAGGGGATTTTCAACACCTAACAAAACCAATATGAATGCACCTATTAGGGCAAGGGAACCAAATGTTTCAACTTCTTAGGTTGCAGTCCTAGTTAAGACACCTGTAAGTGGCAGCATGGAACTCCAGACTGTGAGTCTCTGGGTGCACAGCCACCTTTTCTTTTTTTCTTTATATTTTATTTTTACTTGTACATGTTTGCAGTACACAATGACTACATTCATCTCGGAGGATGGGTACATGTACACATAGCATTGCAATTCTTTTTCTACCCCTTTTCTATTGCAGGCACTTGCTGTTTGTGAAAGCAGCTGAAGAGCGCCTGCTGGTGATTGGCTTTTGGGGATGTAATGAGTTCAGAGTGAAAGCCAAGCACAAACATTTAAAAGGAATAAGATGTTAAGGAGCTCACATTTTTGAGAATAGAAACAGAACACAACTTTTATTGGTCAGGGAAACAAGTCAGCCATTACTCACCCAACACTTGAGAAGTATAAGTGCACTTTTAAAGTTTTCCTACTTATGACCTTGATTTCCAGGACAGATTTCCTAATTTAGAATTCTAAAGAGTTTCTTTCCTTCTTTCTTTTCTTTTCTTTCTTTTCTTTTCTTTTCTTTTCTTTTCTTCTTTCTTTCTTTCTTTCTTTCTTTCTTTCTTTCTTTCTTTCTTTTTCTTTCTTCTTTCTTCCTTTCATCATGTTTTGTCACTGAGAAATGGGATGGGGGAGAATTTCTACACAGTGTATATTAACTACAATCTCAGGGTTTCTAAGCTGTGAATCTGACACAAGAAGCAAGTTCTACCTATGGTCTTACCTGAGGAAATGACTATCTTTCACAATAGAACAATTAGAAAAACAGGCTTGTTTGAATTAATGAAAAATTTACAATATAATCATGTCTATAAGAATGGTATTGAAGGGGAATTAAAATTTAAGTAAAGGCCCACCAAGAATGCCTGCTAAAACCAAGTGGACACACCTGGGAAAAGGCTGGTAACAGAATACTTTTTCTTTGTGTAAGCCCTGTCTTTATTATCTTGGTGTAACTGATGGCTTGCAATGTAATTTGAGACTGATGATGGCCTTGCAATGTAACCTGAGATGTTTAAACTCCCTTGGCAACCCATGATGTCCCTCAACCCTCCAATCATAATTCACCAAATCTGCTGCTGTACCTCCCACTTGCTCTTACTTTAAAAGTGCCCAAAACCCTGCCCAGCAGGACTCTGACCCTTTGAGCCATCCCAGCCAGGTCCACTGGTATAATGAAATTGCCGTCTCCTTGACCTCTTCAGTGCTATGTCTCCCTGTGTTCCGTCCGTTTTGCCATAACAGTATGAGCTCTCTTATCCAATGAAGCTGGAACTGGTGTTTGGTTTCAGAGAAGAGTAACAATTTTAAAATGAAATGACATAAAACATCAATTTAAAACACATCCTTGTATATTTTCTCCAATATTTTAAATATATATAGCTCACATGTACTGTCCCCGGGCTAGAGTTCTCTTCATCTTTTTGAATAGACCACATCTATAATATATTATTACATTTCCAAATTTATCTTTGATAGTGTGGAATGAGAATTTAGCAACATGAATTCAAAATGCTAGATTTTTACTAGCTGTTTACTCAACTTTTTAGAATTTTAGTATTACAAGCTGTTTACTCAACTTTTTAGAATTGTCTTATAAATTACTTGACAATTATTTTTACAAGTTGTCATTATCAAGTTTTTGGTAAGCTCTTGACTTGATTTTCTAAACAAAGATAACTGATGCTTATCCTCCATTAGTTTATATCATATGTAAGTCACACATTTATAATCATGAGCACAACTGGCACACACAGATCTGATTCTGGTGAACACAAATCTCAGTGGGAAGGGAAAGTTGTTGGGTGTGCTGGGAGCGTACCTGCCATGGGCACTCCCTATGGGAAGCCAGCATCTGTTACATAAGACTAGAGAATAATGGCTAATCCGAGAGTAAGTGAACAGACCTCTAATTAGAAAGTTCCTACTAACAATACACTTCAATTAATGTACATAGACAGTAACTCTTAACTTATTTTTGCAAAATGTTTTCTGGCACAGGACCTGCAGAACTTGCCTGAATGAACAACCAAAGCTCACTTATAATCAGCAGAATCTGTCTGCACACATAATTGGCATTCTAAAGTGCTTTCCTGCAGCAATCTAGTTTACGCTGTGGTACTATAATTGGTTTGTTCATCAGACTGTTTTTTCTTAGATGGAAAGTGATAATGTTTTCCTCCACTCCTCACTGAGCAATCACAATTTTTAAATTAACGATTTGGAGATTTAATGAACACTTCTGTTTATAGATGATAGAGATCCTACATCCCTCTATCAATATTTTCAGTTAAAATTTCTATTTTTAAAACACTGGTAGCAATAAAGCATGATATTGCAATGAAAATTTAAAGAAGAAATAAATAGGTATTGTTCCTTCTATATAGATTTGGAAAATTTTAGACCTGAGAGAGTGAGAGAAGTGTGTGTGTATATGTGTGTGTGTGTGTGTGTGTTTATACAGTAGAGTCAGAGAGACACACAATGAGGCAAAGAAAGAGACAGAGACAGAAAGAAAGAGATGATAGGCAAAAAGAAAATGATACACAGATAGTTTCAGATCTTATATACATATATAGAAATTTTGTGTGTGTGTGTGTGTTTACAGAGAGAGAGAGACACATAGAGAGACAGAGAAATAGAAAACCAGAGATAAAAAGGAGGACAGGACAGAAGTAGAATATATAGAGAAAAATAATGAGACATCATGAGAGACAGCACATTTATTTATTTATTTATTTATTTCTGGTACTGGGAATCAAACTCATGACCTCGTGCTTGCCAGGCAAGTGCTGTGCCACTGAGCTATATCCCCAGCCTCGAGACAGCACATGTAGTGAGAAAGAAGCCGAGTCACCCCAACAGTCTTGTTCCATTGGCTTCACATCTGTCCTCTACACAACTGCAGAATGCACAGGTGTGGAACCCACAGGCCTTGGGGAGCCCACATCACTGACTGGGACAAGGAAGCAGCACAGGCCCCTAGGCAGACACGGACAGTATGAGTATGTCACGTCCTAGGTATTAATTTGATGGCTGTGCACCACTTGCCTCATGTGTGTTAAATGTGGTTTTCAACTCTGAATATGTTTATAATGTTTTGGCTGCAGAAAGGTACTGAAGGAAATCTCTGTTGGAGGACTAAATCCAAATGAAACTGTACAGGCCAACTTGGAAGCCCAGCTCCTATCCACGCTGGACCATCCGGCCATTGTGAAGTTCTATGCAAGCTTCATGGAACAAGATAACTTCTGCATTATCACAGAGTACTGTGAGGTAAGACTCCTTTTTTTCTCTTGGAAATCTTAGTAAAGTTCTATTGTGCTGGGTGGAATGGTACATACTTGTAATCTCAGCTACTCTGGAGACAAATGCAAGCAGGATGAAAAAGTTCAAGTCTGAGGATGTAGCTCAGTGGTACAGCATGTGCCGGACTCAGGCTTCAATCCCCAGAACCACAAAAACAAAAATAAAAAAAATCTGTCACATAGGAAAAGGCCTTATATAAAAAGGCATCTCAAAAGTTCAATTACCAAACCACAAATTGAACTATAAAGTCCTGGGGTTGCATGTCTTGCAGCTAGGAATGATCATCTCTCTGTACATGACATAACTCATCTCTAATAGTTTTCTCCCTTTGGCAAACTCAGTCAGACTGAATATATTTTAAGGAGGAATTTCTACATGAAAATGCCCAAACCCCCTACAGTAGTCCAAAGATTAGATGGACATTTGAGTACCCTAACAGAGGCTACACAGAGCAGAGGTAAGTCTTCTAAGTTTTAGATTCTAGTATGTTTTATTTCCCTAGTGGAAGTTTGAAAATAAAAATATGGTTTGTTTTCCCTACAGAAACTCTTTATACTCATTGATGTGTGATTTACAACTCCAAGTATTTGCAGTTTTCTCTCCTACTATCTGTTCTCTTCAAGTAAGAACTTTGTATTTTACTGAACTCCAACTGAACATGAAATTGCTTGAAAGGGTTCAAAAGGGGAAAATTGACAATGTATAGATGTAGAACAGTTTTGTGTATCTACTCCTGAGAGGGAGGGTAGAGGAAAACAACAGGAGTGAGGTCAGGCAAAGAATACCTGAAGATGACTTGCTCAAAAAATGTCTCCTAGAACATTCTGGAAAGCAGGGTTACCCACATGCTTCTTGGGAAAATCTGGAATTATTTAGAATACATGCAGTCAGCTTATAGTTTGAGTCTTTCTGGGACTCTAAAGAAATAATTTTAGAAAGAAGTTGTTCTTTAAGGTAGATTGCAGGCTTGTTTGGATCAGAAACTCTGGATTCCAGACAAAACTCAAGAATCCTGTATGTTTGAGAGGCATGAAAGAAGAGCCATAAGAGGTAGGAGAAGAAAAATGACACTCAGTAGAGATAGCACCAAATCCGAACTTGCCTGCTTTATACATTAGCTGTGTATCACCCAACATGAAACCAATAGCTAAGTTTATCTGAATGAGTTTGGAAAATTCCAAATCTTGACAGTTCCCCTTTAGGTCAGCCTACTGAGCTCAGGTTTTTTTTTTTTTTTTTTTTTTTTTCACGTACTAGGAATCAAACTCAGGACCTCATGCTTGCCAGGAAGGCACTGCACCATTGAGCTATATCCCCAGCCCCTGAGCTCAGTTTTGCTATGTGTTTCTCTATCCAGGTCTTGTCTCTCTTCCGCATGGAGGAAAGTGGAGGGAAAGAAAGATCTAGGTCACCTGAATATCTACTTTTCCTTTATCCAATGAATTGTTGAGAAAATCAGTAAGATGATGAGATGTATAGAGAGGTGATATTGAACAACTGCTCTGGCAAATATTTCACTAGAGCATGCAAAACTACAGATATTTGCATATATAGCTGTAATGTGATCCACTTGCTATAATTTAATCATTTTACTTCTTTAGTTTCATGAATAAACTGTCTCATCTCAGAAATAACTGACCCTTACTGCTCATGATGATGAATTTTACCACTACTGTTGCTTTGGAATATCAACATTTTCAGACTCTTTCTTGATCATAAAATATTTTTTAAACTTCAGTTAATTTTGCTCAATAGACCTTTCTGTGATGATGGAAATGGTGTATACTTGTGTTATCTAATGCCACAATGGCTACTCACACATGGCTTTTTAGCGCTGGAAGTTTGGTTAGTACAATTTCAGAGAGAGATATTAAATTTTATTTAATATTAATTAATTTAAATTTAAATAATTCTTTGTAGCTAGTGGCAACCATATTGGACAGGTCTAGATGATATAGTATAACTTTATTTCTATGTACTAATTTTTATATTCTTAAATTTTAATGTAATTTTAGGCAAGTTACAAGAATAGCAATGAACCCCCATGTACTCGTCATCCAGAGCCCCTGGTCCAATTGTATTTTTCCATCTTCACTTTATCATTCTATTTATCTTATCTTATCTAACTGGTTCTCATACCTACCTCATTTTCTCCCTCAGCCATTTGAGAATCATTTGGTTGTAGTTTGGATCTTGAATCTGCACCCAAAGACCCATGTGGTTGCCAGCTTGTGAAGCTACAGTGAGGAGTAGAACCTGTGGGAGGCAGGACCTCGTGGGAGGAACTTAGGCCACAGGGGTGTACTTTTGTGGGCACTGGGAGGCAGGGCTCCTTCTCTCTTTCTCTTTGCCTCTCAGCTTTATCATGCGCTCTCAAGCATGACGTTCTACCTTATTGTAGGCTCAAAAGCAATGGCAGCAGTTGATCATGGACTGAAATCCGTAAAACTTCAAAACAAAGTAACCTTTGATCCTTTCAAGTTGATTTTCTGAGTCATTTTGCCACTGGGGTGGAAAGCTGACCCTCACAGAGTTGTAGACATGCTGCCCCTTTGTCTCAAATACCATTGTGTCTTCTAAGGGCAAAGACTTCCTCTTAATATAACCAACCACAGTACAATGATAAAAACTCAGGAGATTAACACTGATATAATATGAGTGTGTAATCTCGTGGTTTTGAAAATGAAGGCCCTGACTACTATCATAAGCATCACTTGGGAACTTGCTAGAAATACAGAATGTTTGGCCTCCAGCCCAGCCATCCAGAACCAGAAATTCTGAGGGTGGCTTTCAGTTATCTGTGTTTTGATAAGTGCACCTGGTGAGTTGGAAACAAGCTAGAGTTTGAGAACCATCCATGTAATTTATAGTCTATATTCAAATCCAGCCTCTTGGTCCTTAGGACATTTCTGTAAAAATGTTTTATGTTGCACAGGGTCCCGTCTGGGGTCAACTGCATTAATGTTTAAATGGGGCTGGTTTCCATGGACTGCAATTCTCTCCCAGGAGGAGACATTGCCATGGTGATGACTGGGGGCTACATCAGGGGACAGCTAGGCCCCGGCGATGCTATTTGCACCCCTGGGCTGTTAGACTGCTGTGACATCCCAGCTCCTGAGGAAGGATGTGTGCAGGTTGCCCTGTTCTTATTAACAGAGATATTTCTCTTCACACACAAATTTACTCTTAGCTCACACAGGCTTGCATTGTTATCCTCTTTTTGCTGAGGTAAAATAGTAATGTTGGAAATGCCGATCTCTTCATTGCCAAGATCCCTCTTCTGTAATTAGCCCATTCAAGACTGAAATATAGCCAGTGTGGTGGTGCACCCCTGAAATCCCAGCACCTAAGAGACCGAGGCAGGAGGAGCTTCATGAGTTTAAGGCCAACCTGGACTACCTGGTGAGTTCAAAGCCAGCCTGGAATACACAGTCAGACCCTCTCTTTAAAAAAAAAAAAAAAAAAAAAAAGACTGACACATACAAATGCATTCACAAGTCCTTGATATCTACTTCCCAGTCCTTTTTACACAACACCGTAGATCATGTATGGAAGAAAGCAAACAACCAAATTCTCAAAACTCATCAAGATTTAATCAAATCGTTATTGGATTATAGTTCCAAAATACCAAAATGGCGGACTATTTCAAATAGTGGTTTCCATACCAGGAAAAAGTAGAAATGCTATCTCTGGTCGTTTCTTCATACTTTCTACCCCTTCGCCTTTGCTTAGCCATTTCCTTTGCCAATGCCCTTCCTTTTGGCCCCACATTTTCAAATCCCAACCAGCTTCCTAGGCCCAGTTTAAATTCCCTAATCTAAGGCTCCCTAACCTCCTGGGGGAAATCACTCTCCATGCCCATATCCTCGGCTCTCATAGCATTTTTATCTGGCATGGTACTCAACAGAGCGTGTATCATCTAATCATCTCACACTCAACATACAGGAATGATCTTTTCCTGATTAATTTCTCTGTCCCATCGTGGGCGCACACAGTAAACTACAAAGGAACTAGCACTCATGACATTTCTTGCTTTGCATTCTTTACCATGTTTCAGTTGCCTCCACTTCATTTGTGTCAAACATTAATAATAAAAGGTAAAATATTGGATCCTTCTAGCATGTGTCAAAAGTATTCTGTGCTGCTGTATTTTGCCAGTATACCTGACAGTGTACTGCAGTAGAGGCCTGTGAAATACTACCTGAGGGCCATCTGTCTGGATGAGGAGGAGGTAGCCCAAGAATCCTGGGTGCTATGGTGGAAGACAGTAGAGATTAGGTGAGGTCACATTTCTTCAGCAGAGAGGGAGCAGTGTGGAGATAGTATAAGATATCAGGGGAAAAGCAGTAAAGATTGGGCTTGTCCATGTCTTGCTAGGAGATATTAATGTAGTGAAACAAAAACTGTATCAATACAATAGTAGACCTGAACCTTGGCTGCACATTAGAATCAAAAGTCCTTAGGCCTGGAGGCCATCTCTAGAAAATCTGATTTAATTGCTCTAAGGAATGGCTTAGTCAACAGGGCTTTTGAAACTCTCCTAGTGACCAACATGCAGCTAGGGAACTGCAAAATGGAGAGAATGATTAGTGTGGAATCTATTAGAGCTAGAGTTATAAAGGAAAAGCAAAGAGAGGCCCAGATCTGAGAACACAAAAGTCTGGCCAAATTGTGGACATCATCTTATGACCAAATGCCTAGCTTGTTGCTATCACTCGTGAAAATCACCCAAATCATTTTCCTTGCTCCCTGAGTAACCCCTGGTTCCAATTCAGCTTTCCATGTATGCCTTTTCTGACAGAAAAAATTATGCTCCCTAACTCCACATGAGCTCCCTGTTGCCCTGGCAATTCCTGTTCTCATTGTACATGAATAAATTCGTATTTGGGATTATTTATTGGTTCCTTCTGAGCTTGAAGTTCACAGAAGCTGTAGTAATTGAGGGTGTTCCCAAAAGCCGTTCCTGA